ACGACCTTTCTTTGCGAAGTTATAGACTTTACAAGGAAAGCCCTAAATGTTCACTGTCAGCTCAAAGCTACAGAAATAAGAAGAAATGAATTTAGAGCTGTTCTCGTAAATTCTTTAACTTTGCAAACAAAAGCTATGTAGAGCTGGAAGATGTCTCATTTTAATGAGAAATGTGCGGGGTGCAAGTACGTCTCGTTAAGACAGGGTTTATTTATTTTTTAGAGTTTCTGAAAACTGGTTTTCGAGGAAACGGGTCTCTTGAGGCCTAATTGCCCGTCTCATATCGATATTCGGAATCAGCATGGTCAATTACCTATCATTCACTAGATTTCGTCTCAAAAGCGATTGAACAGTTGGTGGTCCTCCCTCATGCAACACACTTTTTCTAAGGGAACTTTTGACGCTAATTACGAATCTGTTATCCATTTGTGCCCTTAGGCCTTTTTCGAATCGTTCCCCAGAAATTGGGTATCGGGAGATCCACTGTGAACTTTCCGTTGGACATATTTCGGCAGCGTTGGATTGTTGAGCTTGTCTGTTTCCCTAACCAACAAACCAGTTTTCACCGAGATACAAAAATTTTATTTGCAAAAAACCTGAAATATTCAGTTTACGTATTGGATTTGAAGTGAAGTCTTTGTATCTCCGCGAAAATGGATATCGGATTCGTGATCAGCGTCAAAAGTTACCCTAGAAAACGATTTGCAACTTGGGGTGGTTCCCTCGTGAGTTCATGGAAAGGAAATTTTATTATATGGTTGATTCAGAATTTAAATATCAAGAGATAAGTAAATTTCGCCTATACTACAACGTCGTTGTCGTAAAATTTAGTGTCTATAAAGAAATTGATTTATAATACAAAAAATAATAATAGAGTTTGAACGATACCATAAAGAAATTTAGAATAAATTCATCATGTCCGATAACTGATTGTCTCATGATGGTAATAATAAATCAATTAATGTAATAGTATTTGTTCCCGTTACAAGATGGTTGAAAAAAGATCTTTTTGTCGAAAGTCCTAAATGAATGATTCCTAACTGGATGATGATGAACATTGTGTATACAAGCATAAACAGCCTTCATAATATTGTAATGCTTGAGTATATTTATTCTGCTTTAAATAACAAGAGCCAATCAAATTGTATAAATTACCCAACTGACGTTTATTATCATTAAGATTTAATTCATATGTATCGAGTTCCTTTTTGAAATGTTTAACAGCTAAATTATATTGTTGTTTATTAATATAATATATTAGACCAATTGTATGATGTATACTGGCAGATTCATTACTATCATTTGTTGTTAAAGAAATTAATTTTATAGATTGTTTGTAATATTTTAATGAACTATCATAATCTTTTATCTTTTTATAATAATAAGCAAGTAATAGTGTTAAACAACAAATTTTATCTAAATTATAGGGTTTCACTATTTTTACCACACACAATTCTTTTTGACATTGTTCTAGTAATTGGTCGTAGTTAATCATATCTTGCGTAGGTCTTTGCATCTGAAATAATTGAGAAAGGAGGAAAATGATGTATTCACATGCATATGGTAGTTCCAAGAAATTTCATCGTTTGAGAAAGAATTCGACTTTAATCTTACTTAAACTGAAATCTATAATTATAAATCATTTCACGTAACTAAACGATTCTCATTGTGGCCGTCTCTGAAATAACTAAACATATCTTGGATGAACATTAATCTAAGGTAAAAAAGTCTGATGATTTCTTACTGTTATCTAACATGCGATCCAGAATAAATCGACCATTTAGTATTTTGCGTATATTCGACCGAATAACCTTAATTTTTTTTAAAAATCCATGTTTAGAGGCCACGGGTGACAGTCTTTAAACTCGTTACGAGATGAGAAACACTAACATCTTCTTTTAGGCTGGGAAGCTGTTTTGAATTCGTTACAAGTCGAAATCAGTGTTATGTTCTAATATAGTATAGCGGAGGCTGGAGAGGCTGTTTTGAGCTCGTACGAGTTTAAAAGCATGTTACGAGTTCAAAACTGTGTTATATTCTAATATAGCACAGAGGAGACATGTTCATCAGGACGGGAGTGCCTAGGGGGGGATGGCATGAGAATGAATGGACATGAACACTACAGCACCAAGTTTTTAAACTCGTACGAGTTGAAAACAGCCAATACTAGATGCACTTAAGCGTTTTTTCGTCCCGTTAAATTACGAGTACGAATTTAACATAATATCCTAGGCAGTAATGTCCTAAGGCGTTGAGAATCCTACTATACAACATAA